ATCCACCTCTGTTCCTTCTATTCCCTATCCTCCAATCTCACAACTCCATCTCTTACAACGCTCAGTTTCTTCGCTGCTTGAATGTATTCCAATGCCAACGCATGTTGACTTTCTAACCCCTCCTAGTCCACAGGTGCCTTCCCTATGGATTCCTGGTATTTCCTTCATTGCCAATCATGGCCTATTTACAGTGGTTATCTGCGGCCCCTCACAGGGGTAATTGGGGTGAGCTTCAGTTGTTGCTTTTCAGGTTTTCCCATTGTTGGTGTTTGCTTACTCCCAGAACCAAAATTACACTCAGCTGTTTTCCAACCTATCTCAGGCTATATTTATTGGATTCTTCAGATCCTTTCTCAGATGGGACCTTTAATGAAAGTGCCATTCTTCTACGCAATGATATTCCATACTGTCAAATATTTGGTCCATACTCGCTGCATTGCACCTCAGCCGTATCCACTTGAATAACGTGGTTTACAATATGCTCTTTATATATCTCTTTCTCGGGCGACATTTTTCTATCCCAGATTTTGCCTTGTTTACCATCCTTACCACCACCACTTCTGTTACTTGGCGTTTTTAATGCCCACCTTTTTCCTCTGGCGGGGGTCTCATTGTGACTCACGTGAGCATTTACAGTTGGAGGCTTTCTCAGCCTCTCACCCCTCCATGTTTTTTTAATATGGGTACTCGCACCCATTTTGATTCGCGTACTCATACTCTCTTTGCATAGATCTACGGTGTCTGCTCTTCCTCCACTGCACTAGACTTGCCTGGTCTTATTCTACCAGACTTAAATGATAGTGATCATTTCCAATCATTCTACTTCTTCTATTCACCACCTTCTCCGTAACCTCGTTGGCATGGCAATTTGTATCGAGGCAAATTGGGATTTACTAGCAAACTCACTGCTTTTAGTGGGTTCCTTCTTCATCTCCATTGATGAGCTCCTAATCCTCTTCTCGACGTCGGTTTTAACGCAGCTTCTCATACTATACCTCAAACCTCAGGCAGGAATTCTCAGAATGTGCGCGCATTGGTTGTCTCCTGCTTGTGCTCGTGCAGTTACATTTGAAAAGCGCTGCATGGGGCAGGTTATGGTACAGGTAGAAACGCATGAAGAGACCTTCTGATTTTAAGCAGAGCATGCAGTCGGCCAAACGTGTCATCCGCTGACGCTAACACCACTTGCTGGCGAGATTATGTGTCCACCATCACCTCTGATTCTCTATGAGTGCCGTCTGGAAAAAGGAAATTGAGTTGTTAAATACACTCCTGACCGGTTCATGTTCTATGGGTCGCCGGTGTTGGTACAGCAAACCCTCTTGACGTTCCATTGAAATTGGCACTCATTATGGTCCGTATTTCCTGGGGGCTCCATCAATGCACTCGTTTCTTCCTCAAAGTCTGCCAGAGCAGAGAGTTAGTTCCTTGCGACTTTTTCTTCTCTCAGATAAGAACAGTATAATGTGCTTTTACACTTCGAGAACTGGAACTGACAGGCAACACTCTCTGCTTGCCGTCATCGGCAGCTGGACTGACGACATTTTCATATTCGGATGTTACAACATTTACATCAGTCCAGCCCTTGGTGTCTCTTACACCTCTTCAATCTTATTTGGTCTCAATGGTTTTCCCCAGATGTTAGAAAATTGCCATTGTTCTCCCTTTCCGCAAGCCGGTTACTACGAGATATGATGCCTCCACTACGTCCATTGCTCTTACTAGTGCAGTTTGGCAATAAGTGATGGAACATTGGCAAATCGGCGTTAAATGTGGTATTTAGAGACAAACAAAAGTTTCTCCACTAGTTCATATGGCTTTTGCTAAGGGCCGATTACCACAAGACCCCTTAATACGCTTGGATATCCTAGGTTCGTAATGCCTTTGCGAATAACCACTCGTTATTGCCATATTTTTTGACCTGAGGAAGGCATTCTGAAACTTGGAGGTATAATATTTTGGCCAAGCCCACTCTTAGGCCTCCGAGGCAATCTACCATTTCTTCTTAAAAACCTTTTTAAAACGCAGACTTTTCGTGTTCGGGTCAATAATATGCTCTCCCAGGACTTTGGTCCAAGCTGAAGGTTGTCCCTCAGGATGTGTTCTGAGCACACACTTTTTTCTCCTTGATATAAATGATTTGGCCTCTGGTTCTTTCATCCATATTTGGTCATCACTTTTGTAGATGACTTTGCTATTGCTTGTGCAGCGCTGACTGCCACCTCATTACAGTTTCTCTCCAGCATGCGGTTCGACCGTGTTTCCAATTGAGCCACCACGATGGGTTTAAATTTTAAGGTACCAAAACTCTACTGACATTTCGCTCAAACTTTGGTAGTCAGAGAATTATTTAGACCTTCATCCTTCTTCTGAAGTCAACTAGAACATTATACATTTTACCAATTTTGTAAAAAGGGCAGAGTTTTATGCCCTATAGAATAGGGCACTATTTATTTTTTCTATCTTTTAAGGCAAAAATTCACTACAAACATGGTGTGCAGGTTTCAAATGCTGCTTAAGTAGCAGTAAAAGTTTCATTTAAAATGGATAAAAAAAATCTGTTTCTTCCTTCCCCCCACTTTTAAAAACAGAGTAGAGGAGTTAATAGATGGGGAACTGGAGGAAATGGGTAGGTGGCGGGAATATTTTGAAGAACTTTTATATGTTCATGAAGAAAGGGAGGCATTAATTTCATGCACTGGCCAGGGAGGTATACCATCTTTTAGGAGTGAAGAAGAGCAGGATGTGAGTGTGGGGGAGGTGCGTGAGGCATTACGTAGAATGAAAGGGGGTAAAGCAGCTGGAACTGACTGGATCATGACAGAATTGTTAAAAGCAGGGGAGGATATTGTGTTGGAAAGGTTGGTATTTTTGTTTAATGAATGTATGAAAGAGGGGAAGGTACCTAGAGATTGGCAGAGAGAGTGTATAGTTACTTTACATAATGGGAAGGGGGACAAAAGAGATTGTAAAAATTATAGGGTAATAAGTTTACCGAATATTCCAGGTGCGTTTCACCTGATAAGAAAGAATTAAAAGTAAGATGTAAAGCAGAATCACAGATTACCAAGGAGGCTTTGGGAAGGGTCGGGAGTGTGTAGACCAAGAGTTTATAGTGAAGCATATAGATTAACAGTATTTAGATAAGGATAAAGAGGTTTTCGCTGCATTTATGAATTTGAAAAAGGCATATGATAGGTTGGATAGAGGAGCAATGTGGCAGATGTTGCAAGTGAAAGGAATAGGTGGTAGGTTATTAAAAGCAGTTAAGAGTTTTTACAAGGGTATTGAGACTCAGGTTAAAGTATATAGGAGACAAAGATATTATTTCCCAGTAAAAGTAGGCCTGAGACAGGGATGCTTGATGTTATCATGGTTGTTCCATATATTTATAGATAGGGTTGTAAGAGAAGTGAATACTCAGGTGTTAGGAAGAGGTGTGGGATTAAGAGATACAGAATCTAACACAAAGTGGAAGTTGTCACAGATGCTTTTTCCTGATGACATTGTTCTTTTGGGAGATTCTGAAGAGAAGTTGCAAGGTTGGTGAACGAGTTTGTAAGGGTATGCAAATGAAAGAAATTAAAAGTGGACATAGTTAAAAGCATGGTGATGAGGATAACAAAAAAATTAGGTAATGAAAGATATATCTGATTGAAAGAAGAGAGTATAGAGGAAGTGAACGAATTTGGATATTTGGTATTGGACTTGTCAGCAGATGGATGTAGGAAAAGTTGGAGAGAGGGGGTAAAGGAGGTTTAGTGTGCAAGAGGCTTTGACTTCCAGTAAGTGTGCATGAGTGTGTTAGGAGCGAAATAACATTTATGAACAAATTCAAGGAAACCGGTTAGCCATACTTGAGTCCTGGAGGTGGGAAGCATTATGCCTGCAGGAGGAGTGGAGATATGATGCAGCTTTTAACTGTAGTGTAGGTGCTCTATGGCAGACAGTGATGGAATGAATGATGATGAAAGTGTTTCTTCCTTTTTGGGTCACTTGATGTGTTACTAAAAAAGAAAACGGGAAATGAGGTAAACAAACAATTTAGTCCATCAAACCAGACAACAGCTGTTACAAAGACTCCAGGTTAACAGTATACATCAAAGAGAGAGAGAGAGAGAGAGCAACCAGAGTGAGAATATGTGGACATAAGCATGGCAACAATACCCACCAAAGTGAGTGCTGTCCGAGTAAGAGAATGATGATATGTACATGTCAGCAACACTCATCAGAAAAAGGGTAGTCTAGGTAATAATATGATGAAATATACAAGCCAACAGTTTTCACCCGAAAGATTGCTGTTTAGTTCCAGACAAAAGTGACGAGGAAAGTTTTTCCTATATAATGCCAACAGCCATTGTGTAAAAGACACCTATACAACGTTAAGACAAGAAATTCGTTAATGGGACATATTTACTTTTAATACACAAATTGGAAATTGAAAGTTTCAGGGGATCCGTTTTCTATTATCAAGTTTTGAGTCAAGAACCCAAGCGTAGGCTAGTGTTAATATAATTTGTTAATCTCCATAGAGGACATAATTTACGAAAATTTCTCGAGGACCTATAGTTCACTTCAGACATTTATTTGTTTATAAAATTATAAAACTGGAAAGGCAAAAATAAAGAGAGAAATAAATGAGAGAACATTATGAGGTGTACAAGTTATTTCCCATCTGTGATTATGTGGAACTTTGAATTTATTGGGAGGAGATATAACTGCTGTTTCATGACAACACTTTTTTTTAACACATTCAAGTAGACCCTTAGAATTATTACAAAATCATAAAATTGTCCCAAGAAAATTTATAACAAAAATGCAAACAGCAAAGGTGAATAAAGAGAGAAATAAATCATGCACATGACAGAGAGAAAAAGCAGGAAATCAGGTAGAAGATCATGGAACAGCTGTACAAAGATGTGGAAGACGCTTAGAAAAGCTTAAGAGGCCTATGCAGAGCTTAGGACAGAGTCAGGGTATAAAGTTAACAGAGAACTCACCTACATGGAAGCACAGCTGTGGAGCCCACTACAGCAGTCTGGGGGGTGGGTTGGGTAGCAAAGTGCTGTGCCCCTTCTCTGCCCAGGGTCTGCACGGCTGAGCCGCCCATGCCTGGGCCGAGAGGCACCTCCTTCGTTGATACAGGAGTTGCTGTGCTCCCCACCTGTTGGGTAATGCCTGCCTCCCACATAGCACTGACGCTCACGTGGGCCCACATGCACCACATCACCCACGCCCACACCCACGAGATCCACCACGTGAACATCGCCTGTTGGATAAACGAAATATGTTAATATGAGTATATTAGGGATAGGACGGCTCCAAAAATTTTGCCGATACCGATACTCAAGTTTCGGCCGATACATATACCGATACTTTTCCTATAATTATTTTAATTTTAATATTATGATAAATACGTTCAATATATACAGTAAGGCAGAGTTTATTCCCCAATAAGCACAAAATAACACAGGAAAGTTCGATATTAAATAACTTAATTTCTCTGAAATAACAATATCTTCACAAAAACTCCTGTGAGGTTTATAAACTAAAGAAATTAAATAAATCTGACTCAACATATTTGGTGCTCTGATGTTAAGTAACAGGAAATCTTATAAGAGAACAAATCTCATTAATTTTCATTTATAATAAACGTGAAACAAAATTATCCAACATTCATAATATTTTAATTATTTTTGAATACTGAAAAAAATAGCTGGAAACTGAAATTTAAAAATCAAAGTTTAAAACTTGAGCAAAACTTTTAATATTAAAATGAATAAACAGACGTATTTCCATTATACAATTAAAAGTTTTCTAAACTTTGAAGTAAATGATGAAAAATAGAAAAACTTTCATTTTTCTAATTCTTGAAATTAAAAATAATTCAAATACCTAGTTAACACTGACATTTTTAGTTGTGAGAATCTTGGATCACTCACAACTGTCTTGATGAATGTTGCAAATATTATGATTGACATTATTTCTGACAGAAGACAATTTCTTTCACTAAGACGAAGAAATACTTTGCCAGAGTTTCTACAGTCTTCCTTTTTTGTGTTTTATAACCATTACATTCCAAAGGCTCTTTTTTTTTATTCACAAAAACGATATAACATTAAGTTTATTACACCTGTTAGGTTAATATTTATTGTTTTATTAACACATCGGCCGTTCCCCTCACAAAGGTAAGGTGCGCCGAAAAAGAAAAACTTTCACCATCACTCACTTCATCACTGTCTTGCCAGAGGCGCTTACACTACAATTATAAAACTGCAACATTAACACCCCTTCTTTAGAGTGCCGGCACTGTACTTCCCATCTCCAGGACTCAATCTCGGCATGTTGATTTCCCTGAATCCTTCATAAATGTTACCTTGCTCACACTCCAACAGCACGTCAAGTATTAAAAAACATTTTTCTCCATTCGCTCCAGTCTAACATGCTCAAGTATGCTTGCTGGAAGTCTAAGCATCTCGCACACAAAACATCCTTTACTCCTTCCATCTAACCTTTCCTAGGCCGACCTCTACCCCGCCTTCCCTCCACTACAGATTTATATACTCTCGAATTCATTCCTATTTTGTTGCACCCTGTCTACATGTCCGAACCACCTCTACAAACTCTCCTCAGCCCTCTGGGTAATAGTTCTGAGAATCCCACCTCCTAATTTCGAAACTATGAATTCTCTGCATTACATTCACACATCTCAGAAATGACATCTCCACTGCCTCCAGCCTTCTCCTTGTTGCATACATTCACCACCCATATAACAGCATTGGCGTAACTATACTCTCATACATTCCCCTCTTTGCTTAAAAGGACAAAGTTCTTTGTCTCTACAGACTCCTCGGTACACCACTCACCTATCTCCAATCGTCAATTCAATGATGCACCTGATATTTCATAGACCCAACTGCTGACACGTCCACTCCTAAATATTTGAATTCATTCACCTCCTCCATACCTTCTCCCTCCAATTTAATATCCAATCTTTGTTACTTAATTTATTTGTTATCATCATCACCTTACTCTTTCCTATATTCACTGTCAATGTTCTACTTTTACATACCCTACCAAACTCATCCACCAACCACAGCAACTTCTCTTCAGAATCTCCTAAAAGTGCAATGCCATCAGCAAAGAGCATCTGTGACAACTCCCATTTTGTGTTAGATTCTTTATCTTTTAACCCCACACCTCTTGCCAACACTCGAGCATTCAATACTCTTACAACCCTATCTATAATATTTTTAACATTCATGGTGACATCACACATCTTTTCCTAAGGCCTGCTTTCATTGGGAAATAATTTCCCTTTCTCCTACATACTTTAACCTGAGCCTCACTATCCTCGTAAAAGCTTTTCACTGCTTTCAATAACCTACCTCCTATTCAATACATTTGCAACATCTGCCACATTACCCCTCTATCCACCCTATCATATGCCTTTTCCAAATTCATAAATGCCATAAAAACCTCTTTACCCTTATCTAAAATTCTGTTCACCTTTATGCTTCACTGTAAACACTTGGACTACACTCCCTCTACCCATCCTAAAGCCTCCTTGTTTATCTGATATCCTATTCTCCGACTTACTCTTGATTCTTTCAATAATAACTCTACCATACACTTTACTAAATATACTCAGCATGCTTATTCCCTTACAATTTTTGCGCTCTCTTTTGTCCTCTTTACCTTTATACAAAGGAATTATGCATGTTCACTGCCAATCCCTAAGTACCTTACACTCTTTCATACATTTATAAAATGAAAGCACCATCCGGTTCAAAACTATATCTTCACCTGTTTTTAACATTTCTGTCTGTGTCCCATCAATCCCGGCTGTCTCGCCCCATTTCATTCTACCCACTGCCACACGATCTTCCCTCACACTCACAACTGTCTCTTCCTCACTTCTACAAGATGTTTTTTCTCCTTGCCCTATACACGAAATCACAGCTTTCCTATCTTCATCAACATTTAACAATTCCTCAAAATATTCCATCCATCTTCTCGATGCCTCTAACTTTCCATTTAATAACTCTCCTCTCCTATTTTTAACTGTCAAATCCATTCGTTTCCTAGGCTTCTTCAACTTATTAATCTCACTTCAAAACTTTTTCTTATTTTCTACAAAATATGTTGATAACATCTCACCCACTCTCTCATTTGCTCTCTGTTTACATTGGTTCACCATTCTCTTAACCTGTTTTTCTCTCCATATACTCCTCCCTCGTTGCATCACTTCTACTTTGTAAAAACCTCTCATTTGCTAACTTTTTCTCTCTTACTATTCTCTTTACAACATCATTCCACCAATCACTCTTCTTCCCTCCCGCATCAACTTTCCTGTAACCACAATATTCTGCTGAACACTCTAACACTACATTCTTTAACCTCCCCCATACATCTTCAACCCAATTGCTTATACACTCACTAGCCCATCTTTCCTCCAGTAATTGTTTATATCTTTTGCTAACTGCCTCCTCCTTTAGCTTATAAACCTTCACCTTTCTCTTATTTGCTGCTTCCATTTTCTATGTATCCCATCTACCTTTTACACTCACTGTAGCTACAACTAAAAAGTGATCTGATATATCTGTGGGCCCTCTATAAACATGTTCATCTTGAAATCTACTCAATTGTCTTTTATCTACTAATATCTAGTCCAACAAACTACTGTCATTACACCCTACATTATATCTTGCATACTTATTTGTCCTCTTTTTCTTAAAAAATGTAATATCTATAACCAAACTTCTTCCTATATGAAGTTCAGTCAAAGGGCCCCATTATAATTTAAACCTGGCACCCAACACTTACCTACCACACCTTCTTTAAATGTTTCTCTTACTGTAGCATTTAGGTCCCCTACCACAGTTACTCCCTCACTTGGTTTAGAAATTCATACACACTCGCTTAACATCTCCCAAAATCTCTCTCTCTCTCTCTCTCTCTCTCTCTCTCTCTCTCTCTCTCTCTCTCTCTCTCTCTCTCTCTCTCCTCTACACTCCTCTCTTCTCCATGTGCATACACACTTATTATGACCCACTTTTCGCATCCTACCCTTATTTTAATCCACATAATCCTTGAATTTATACATTTATATTCCCTGTTACCCTTCCACAACTGATCCTTCAACATAATTGCTACCCCTTCCTTAACCCTAACTCTCTCAGATACTCGTGACTTAATCCCATACATTTCTCCCCACTGAAACTCACCCCCTTCAGTGTTGTTTCGGTTAGTGCTAGGACGTCCAACTTTTTTTCATTCATATCATTAGCAATCATCTCTTTCTTGTCATCCACACTATATTCACACACATTGAAGCATCCCAGTTATATAAAGTTTTTCTTCTTCTCTTATTTAGTATTTTCTACAGGACAAGGGGTTACTAGCCCATTGCTCCTGGCATTTTAGCCTCCTCATATGACATGCAAGAATTATGGAGGAAAGATTTTTTCCACTTCCCCATGAAGAATAGAGGAAATAAATAAGAAGTGGTGACCTGTACTTGTTGAGTGGTGACCTGTAGTTAGCTCAGTGGTGACCTATATCTTGCTCAGTGAAGATGTGTCTAGTGTACTCTCTGTGGACTGAGCCAAGATGCCCTCCACTGAGCAACTTTACCAGCAGCTTAAAGAGGAGTTGAGGGTGGCTAAGCTCAAGATATGCTGATTGAGAGAGGAAAAGATGAGGATTCGTAGCAGTCCTCAGATCAAGAAGGGAACCTGGGCAGAGGCCGGACAGCATGGAGCGAAGTTGAAGATCAAGAGGACGAATGGAGGGGTAGAAACAATGAAGAAAGAAACTGCTGTGGAAACTTCTAACGTGAGTTGAACGTGAATGTGAGTCGACTACTGGGAACATCACAAAGTTTAGGTACATGGATAGGGCCTTCTGCTTGAAGGATAGGAGTAGGAGACAGAGGGTGTGCTTCCCTGGGGCTGGGATGGAGGATATTGTTAGCCAGCTTGACATCATCATGTATGGTAATATGATCAATCCTATTATCTGTCTCAGAGCTGGAGGCAATGATGTAGGCAAGTGCAGAAGTGAGGATTTAGTTAAAAGGTATAAGGCAGCAATAGACATTATTAAGAAGAAGGGAGGGAGTCATGTTATATGTGGCATTTTGTGAAAAAGGGGTGTTGGAAATGAACAGCTGTCCAGAGCGATTTGTATAATTTGCGGGCTGAACAAACACTGTAAGGATAATGCAGTGCCATTCATTGACAACTGGGACCACTTCTATGGCCG